AGGGGCGCGTAGAGGCCGGAGCCGCCACCCGCGGGGCCCATGGAGCGCGTGCGGATGATCAACGTGCAGCGCCTGCTGGAGGCGGCCGAGGTTTTGGAGCGTCGGGAGCGAGGTAACGGCTGGACGCCGTCCCCTCTGCAGCCTGTGCTCGCGGGCTCCTGCTGCGCGCGGGGACTCGGCGCGGCGGCCGGCAGGAAGCGCGTGGGCTGGGGAGGGGGTGTGTGTGTGCGCGCGCGCGCGCTGTGTGTGACGGGAGGGTGGGTGCGTGTGCGCGCGCACAATCCGTGATGCCCGTGCGGGCGGGGAGGCGCCCGTGTGGAGGGGCGTGAGTGGGGAGGAGGGAGTTGTGCCCACGCTCGGGAAAGGGGCGGTGCCGGGGCCGGTGGGTGTGAGGGACGCTGCCGCGCCTGCTCTCGTGGGAGGGGGCATGCCTGTGCCTCACAGTCCCTGCAATCGTGGGGCCACTTCTCCTGTCTCCCAGGGTCACCTCATTGAGGTGGAAGCAACCTGAGGGCACACGAAACAAGAAACCATAGGAGAGAGAGGACGGGGCATCTTCAGGCATAGCTGGGGGGAGTGGGGGGTCGGGGTGGGAAGAGGGGAGAAAGAAGGGTAAAGGAAGCCAGAGATGAGATGGACCCACCTAAGGAGAGTGTCTTGGGGAAGAGGAGGTGAATCAGAACTTTCTAGGGAAGGTGGAAGGAAGGAGCTGGGAGCTGGGCATGGGGTCAGAAGACAAGGCTAGGAAGGGGAAGGTGGGGGAACCGATCCCGGTGAGCTACATATAACCCCCTCCCTGGGGGACAGACAACAGAAGAGTGGGTGAAGGGCGACATCGGACAGTATCAGACATGACAAAATAATAATAATTTATAAATTATCAAGGGTTCATGAGGGAGGGAGGGGAAAATGAGGAGCTGATACCAAGGGCTCAAGTAGAAAATGTTCTAAGAATGATGATGGCAACAAATGTACAAATGTCCTTGACACACTCCATGGGTATATGTGTGGATTGTGATAAGAGTTGTATGAGCCCCCAATAAAAGGATTTATTAAAAAGAAAAGTAAAGGAAGGAAATGCTTAGGTGATGAGAAGGGAGGAGGAAGTACCATTAGGGGCAAGGGGTATCTGAGGTGTGAAGAGATAGATCCTTTTGGAATTTTAAAGAGATTGGCTATGAAGAGCAAGGACTTAAGAATTGGGTTATTAGGAGAGAAAATGACCCTGGAGGACTAAGTGAATTATTTGAAGTGGGAAACTGTGGGAGTTAGAGACTTTAGAATGGAGAGTGTTAAAGGGAAAAGGAACTGTCAAACAAGTGGAATTATTGAAGCAAATGGTAACTGCTCTCAGAAATTAGTGTGTTTGAGTCAAGAAAAATCCTTGGAGGAAAGGGTTTCTGAGAGGAGGGAGGAATTATTTCGCTTAGGGGAGCTATTAGTACATCTCCCACTGGATGGATTATGTTTATATATAATGTTGTAGAATTATGTCCAGGTAAGGACTGAAATTTTTATCTTCCAACCAGTAAGAATAGGGGAATTTAAGCTCTTTTCCTTCTACTTCTAACACCTTACTGCAAGGAGTTGAGATCTGTGAGTCCGTGACTTTTGAGTATGTTTCTCTTACCAAACAAATCCTTTTTTCTTGCTGTCTCTTTAGAGTGTGAACATGGCTATGCTTCAGCGTTCCCCTCCATGCCGAGTCCCCGACTGCAGCACTCAAAGCCCCCACGGAGGTTGAGCCGGGCACAGAAACACAGCAGCGGGAGCAGCAACACCAGCACTGCCAACAGGTAGCATGCAGCAAGCTGGAGGGAAAGAACACAAACGCAGGCAGAAGGGCCAGCCCTACTGTCTGGAATTCCGCTTAATCCCAAGTCTGCGCATCAATAAAGGAGCCACATGGGTTCCTTTACCACCATCCCTGGGAATTTGGTCCTTGGAATCATAATCTGACTCTCTATGGAATGGAAGGAAAATAATGTGGGAGAAGTAAATTCTTGCTGAGATTACTCAGATGAGGAAGTCTGAATGAGGGGACAGGGAGTTGAGGTACTTGACTTGTGTCCATGCATATAGCCACTTGCTAAACCTAATCTTAAAAGAGGCTTCTTTAATTATCTGTTCAAGTTTAGAATGGTCCAAGAACAATTTTAGGCTCATCTGATCCTGTGTTCTTGTTAGGCGCTCTCACGTGGCTCCGATTCATAGTAACCCTATGTATGACGAATGGAACACAGCTGGATCCTGTACCATTTTCACAACTTTTGTCATGCTTGAACTCTTGTTGTAGCCATTGTATCAATCCATCACATTATCGCTGATCCCTCTACCAAGTGTGTTGCCCTTGTCTAGGGACTGGTCTCTTCCTGATAACATGTTCAAAGTATATGGAAGGTCACTAATGATTTTGGACCTTTCAGCACTATTTCAACACTGCATCCCGCAGTCTTAATGTGTTAATATCATTCATTAAAGAATATTTTGTTCATTGATTTAGTGGTTTATCTTCCAAATATTAGAAATTTTGTTATTGATTCCAAATTTCATTGTGGTAAGGGAATGTATTCTGTGTGATTTTACTACTTTTAAAAATTTATTGAAAATTATGCTTTAGAAAGTACTTAAGTTAGGGATGATTATATAATAAACCAAGAGGTATTGCTGTATTTGAAAGTGGAATTGATTTTTATAGAATTAATTTCATATTTTTTCATTCTTCCTGTTTATTGAAGTAAAAGGTACAAGAAAAGTGTACAAACCCTAAATGTATAACTTAATGAGTTTTTATAAAGATGGAAAGATAGAATATTACAGACTAATCGCTTCTCACTCTTTCTATTCGTTGCTACTGTCTTCATGAGATAACCACTCTTCTGACTTTTGATACCATAAATTATATCAGTTTAGACTTTCATATGAATGGAATTAAACAGTATTCACTTTTTTTGGTATCTGACTTTATTTTTTCATTTAATATCATGTTACATTGATTCATCATGTCATTATAGAATAGTTGTAGTTTTTACATTCTCGTGGTATTATACTGAAAGGATATTGATTTCACAATCCATTCTTTTGCTGATGGCTGTTTTGAGTCAGAACATTTTTGACCAGTATGATTAGTAAAATTATGAACATTTATAAATAAATGTTGGTTTATGAGAGGACTTCAAAAAGTCTGTGGAAAAATTCCACTTTTACTTTTATATGAACTTTTTGAAGCCTCCTTGTATATGTGTAAACTAAATTTAGTATATGTCTATGAGTTGAAGTGCTAAGTCATAAAATCTATATATCTTTCACTTTCATATGTAAGATTTGCTACCACTTTGTCAGTTTTTACACTGTGGTAACTTACATGTAGCTGGGATGCTGGAAGCTCTGCTTCTCTTGGTGGAGAGGCTTCAGCAGGAATTCCAGACTAAGACAAGTAGGAAGAAAGGCCTGGTTGGTGATCTCCCTCTGGCAAAAAAACAGCCAGTGAAAACCCCTCAGGTTGGAACGCACTCAAAGCGTGACGAGAAGAATCAACCTTAATGATACCAAGTGAAGCTTCGGGGACTTCCATTTGCTGATGTGGCAAAACACAAAATGAGCAGAAATAGCTGCAAACATCCATTAATAATTGAATATAGAATGTACAATGTGATTCAAGGGAAGCTGGAAGTATCAAAATTGAAATGGAATGCTTAAAGGTAAACATCTTAGACATTGTGGGTGGAAATGGACTAGTACTGGCTAATTTTCATGGTATGTGTTGAGGAATGGTGTTGCATTCATTATCAAAAAGACCATTTCCAGATCTATAATAGTACAGTGCTGTCCATGATCACATAATATCCATATGTATACAAGGAAGACCAGTTAATCTATTACTCAGATTTAAAAACCAATCACTTACACCAAAGATGAAGACATGGAAGATTTTTACCACCATCCATAATCGAACATACAATTAAGATTCATTGATAAAAACAAAAGAAACAAAAAAAGATTAATTGATATTACTGATGAGATTGGAATGCAAAGGTTAGAAATGAAGGAGCAGTTGGAAAATAATGCCTCTGTGATAGAAGCAACTAGAGATCATAAGCTAAAATTTTGCAAGACAAATGACTTGTTCATTGCAAATAGCTTTTCTTTTTTTAACCATTCTTACTTTTACTGTTCAGTTTCTCAGGATGACCAGTGCGTCTCAGACTCAGCTTTATAAATTCTAGATATACTGATGAGGCCAGTAGGGACTTGCTCTTGTCTATTTTGGTTTCAGGGAAGACTTCAAGTTGTTGATGGTCATCTGGTCAAATGGAATGATGTTCCTCATCTTCTCCAGCTGCTTCTTGTACTCCTCAATCGTAGTCTTGGAAAGAGACACAAACTCGGCTCACGTCTGACATCTTTTTCTTCAGCATCCGCCAGAGCAGTAAATTTATCCTCTGGTACAGGGATCTTCAGGGCCTTAAACTTCTCAGAGTCATCCACTAAGCCAGCCTTGCAGTCAGCCCAGTCGACAGCGGGAGGTGCCTCAGGGAGAACTGCCAGCCTGGCGGTGTGGACCTCATTCCAGGACTTCAGCGAGTTGGTAACAGCCTTTTGGTTTTGGGGTATGATCTGCCCAAAGTCTATCCAGTTGATGGCTTTTAGGCAGAGAGTCCATCTAGCTATTCTGGGATCCTTGACTGACCCAAGCAGCCCATGGCCCCAGCAGCCACAAGTAGCATTTTCTAAGAGCCTACATGATGAGTATACATCTGGAACTCACTGGGTTGAATGCATAGGAATCAAATCAGTGGTCCTCAACCTTCTTAATGCTGTGACCCTTTAATATAGTTAGTTCCTCCCTCATGTTGTGGTGACCCCCAACCATAAAATTAGTTTTGTTGCTACTGCATAACTGTAATTTTACTACTGTTATGAATCAGGTGACCCCTGTGAAAGGGTCGTTCGACCCCCCGGTTGAGAACCGCTGAAATAAATTATCAGTGGGAAGACTTTGGAGATGGCAGTATCAGTCGATATAATGCCAGGGGTTGACTGGAACAGCCCTTCAATTGCTCATCTACAAGTCCAATCCATGGGGACCAAATACAGCCATGTGTATATCTCACTTGAACTTAGAAACCATATCCAGAATAGATTTGAGGCATTGAGCATTAATGATGAAGACTACATGTGTTGTGAGATAACATCAAGGACCCGCATGAAAAGACTGAAATGGATAAGAGAAGAGACTGAAATTTAGTCGCATACAGAGGAGCTAAAGCAAGCAAAAGAAAAGATTAAAAAAACAAGATTTTTTATCATTTTATTGGGGGCACTTACAGCTCTTATCATGATCCATACATATATATGTTGCCATCATCATTTTCAAAATGTTTTCTTTCTACTTGAGACCTTGGTATCAGCTCTTTTTTTCCCTACCTCCCGCACCCTCCCTCATGAACCCTTGATAATTTATAAATTAATATTTTTTTCATATCTTACGCTGTCCATTGTCTTCCTTCACCCAGTTTTCTGTTGTTTGTCCCCCTGGGAGGGGGTTATATGTCGATCATTGTGACCGGTTATCCCTTATCCCCCACCCTTCCCTTACCCTCCTAATAGCGCTACTCTCATTATTGGTCCTGAGGGGTTTATCTGTCTTGGATTCCCTGTGTTTCGAGCTCTTATCTTGAAGAGAAGATTTTAAGGACTGCTTGAGAAGACAAATTATTAGAATGAAATCTGCAAAGATCTGGAGTTGAAAATCAGAAGGTATAAATGAACTTCACATTTCTTACGTGAAACACTGAAAAAGAAAAACAAACCTTGAGTTGAAATAGTGAAGGATGTTGTAGGCAAAAAAATTGAATGACTCAGGAAGCGTCAAAAGAAGGTAGAAGGAATACACAGTCATTGTACCAAAAAGAATTGGTTGCCATTAACCATATCTGAAACGTATGATTAAGAACCAGTGGTACCGAAGGAAGAAGTCTAAGCTGCATTGACAGTACTGGCAAAAAATAAGGGTCCTGGAATTGAAGGAATACTAATTGAGATGTTGCCACAACCCTGGAAGCTCTTGCTCATTTATGTTAAGCGATCCATGTATTTGTCCATTCCAAAGAAAAGTAATTCACTGACATGTAGAAATTATTGCAGCAGTACATTAACAGAGAACTATCATACATTTAAGCTAGATTCAGATTTCTGTTGTTAGATGGATCTTGGCTGAAAGTAGAGAGTACCAGAAAGATGTTTATCTGTGTTTTATTGACTGTGCAAAGCCATCAACTGTGCAGTATATAACAAATTATGGGTAACATTGGAAAGAATTGGAATTCCAGAGCACTTGATTGTGCTCATGTGGAACCTGTTCATACACCAGAAGTTAGTCATTCAAACAGGGTAAGGGGACACTGTTTAAGAAAGGTGTGTGTCAAATTTGTATCCTTTTACCCTACTTTTTCAATTTGTACGCTGAGGAAATAATCTGAGAAGCCAAACTGCAGGAAGAAGATGGCATCCGGACTGGAGGAAGACTCATTCACACCCTGCGTGTGTTTTTTTCACAGTAAAGAGGATTTGCAATTAAAGCAAACAAGAATCCTCATGGCAGGACTAATAAGCAGGATCATGGTGAAGAGAGGATATATTGATGCTGTCAAGGATTTTATTTTATTTGGCTTCACAATGCCCATGGAAGTAGCAGTCAAGAAATCAAACAATATATCGCATTGGACAATTCTGTTAAAGACTGTGTTAAAGTGTTAAGAAGCAAAGATTATCACTTTGAGGACTAAGGTACCCT